ATTTCTGAGTGGAAGATTCATCACTAAGCAATAGATCGATTGAATCACATCTAACTGCTTATTTTTTAAATGAAATAATTCGATATGATATTAGTAAGAAAACCTTGCTGCTACCTAAATATTAGTCTTTGACGTGCCAAAGATTCGAGAAAAGTGATTCTAGTCATGGCATTCAAAGAGCGTGTCGATGTAAATGTAACTAAATAATTTTTTATCGTCTATTACCATTTAGTTTTTCAAATGACGTGGTCGAGCGTCCCAGAGTTCTGGTGAAAAAATGAACATATATACTTTGCAGGGTTAATAACTCAAATGGTCACTGAACTTTGCAAAAAGATTTCACATGGTCACTGGACTTTAAAAATCACTCAAATCATCACTAAACTTCGCAAAACGTTTACACAGGGTCACTAAACTTTAAAAATCACTTCATTTATCACTAAATTTTGTAAAAAATTTCCACGAAATCACTAAACAATGCAAAAGTTTTCCTAGGGGATCACTGAATGGAAACGTTTTACAAAATTTAGTGATGAATGTGATGATTTTTAAAGTTCAATGACCCCGTGTAAACCTTTTGTAAAGTTCAATGATGACTTGAGTGATTTTTAAAGTTCAGTGGCCCTATGAAAACTTTTTGCAAAGTTCAGTGACCATTTGGGTTATTAACCCATAGTTTGCATGTGGGGAACGCTAAACAATTTAATTTTTTAGATGAAGTAGTTCGATCTCGATTAAAGAACATACAAAATTGAAATATAAATTGATTTTCAAAATTGATTTTTCCTGTAACAGGTAAATGGTATTTATGTGGATCTGATCATATGACTATCCAACAAAAAAATAGTATTTCTGAAATAAAATTGACCAGTTTGTCTTATTCAGCAAGAGAAAAATAGGGTTGTTTTAAATAGGAATTATTTTAATCCTAATTGCACTCAATCGTTCCAAGAAGTCATCTGTATGTTTATGGATTCTCATAGGTGTTTCCATTAGATAACCAGTAGAGTGCCGACCAGCTTTTTTGTCATCCCTACATGTGATCACAAAACTCATTAACCTTACTTAAATTGTTGAACGACATGAAAATTTAATTTTTGATAAGTTTAGAATTAATTTAATGAAGAACGAGTTGAAAACAATATCCCTCACAATAATATCTCTCAATTTTTGTATTTTTATAATGAAAAGAATAATCTTATTTATATGGAATCCGTAAAACCTAATTAAAAACGGAGTTGGACCTAAAAGATATAAAAAGGATACCATAAAAAGAGTTTTAACTAAAATAGAAATTTAGACGAAATTTGGAAAAACATGTCCAAGATTTTCACTATGCAGCAATATAGGCTAATGGCCCATGGTCGCCATTCATTAGCCTTCAACTGAGTTTCAGTAAGAGGATATGCAGCCGCATGCTTAATTACTCTATGAGGTCGCATATGTCTTCGCTTCAATTCCCTCATCTGTTGCACAAACTAAGTTGATCCATCTTGTTCTGTCTTTCAAGCCCAATCTAACACTTGGCATTTTGCTTGCTGTGATCGATGATTTATCCACTGTAACTTAAATGAGTAATCTCATGACTTCTTTGACATTCTTTGCTCGTGACCTAATCATTGGTTATTCATCCACGATCAACGAGTCATTGTCCTTGCTACCACTCGTACCTTGGTTCTCATCAAAATACGTTTGAGAAGGTGTTTCTAGGTGTTTAAAAACAACTTGATCAAAAAATATTTTTAGTCAAATCATTTTTTATTCATACATTTCATAGAAGCCATAAGTACTACTCATTTCTTCATAAATCATTTACTCATATTTATAAATACCTTGTCCTGCGTACCTTTGAGAGATTATTGCTGAGTTCTTTCCTCTCGAAAAAATAAGTTTTTTTCTTGGCAAGATTTCTTAACATCATTACTATGGTATTGTTAGTGTTAAAACTTTTTGACTTTGAATATTCTTTTGTTTGTTTCCTTGATAGAATAAGAATGTGTGTTGTATGTATTATTGGAGTGGCTTTGTTTTCCTACTTGAAGATCTAGCAGGAATTTGCCATTAGCTACGAATATAACTAATATCTTCGTGCATTGCCTCTTGTGAATGGATTTAGTTAATTAAGACTAGAACTAGAACTATAACATGCACCACTAGGCTTGGTTAGTTTTCAAACATCCGTATTCAATTATATATTTTTTTAGTGTCTATTTAGATTGATCGTGTGAATAACCTTTTGACAAACTAACATTTCTTTTCATTATTTAATCCTTATTGCACTCAGTCGTTCCAAGAAGTTATCTGTATGTTTATGGATTCTTATAGGTGTTTCCATTAGATAATTCAGTAGAGTGCCGTGAATTCCAAACAATATAAATAGATTTTATATCTTTTTTTACAGTATTTTTGTCTAAAATGTCAATGTTGAAAGTAGTGTCTAAACTTTTATATATTATTAGTCATTATATCAATATTTTAAGTGACGCGGTATATAGGGGTTTACTCTTGAACACGTTTTCAAAACAACGGCTCGTTTGAGAAAATCAATATTTTGAAATTTGATCGATCATTTGAGCCGTAGACAAATTGAATTGTTTGTCTCAACTTTTTTAGCTTAAATCTTGAAATTTTATCTTAAAAGATCAACATTGTCAAAAGAAATAATATAAATTCTTATATTTTCATTATTGTTTTTAACTTAAGAATATAGGATTTTAAACGAAGTGGTATATCATTGTATAAGAATAGGCATAACTCTTATTTTCACGTGTTAGATATTTGATAGAATAATAAATTTGATGACAACTTGAAGTGATATAATAAATTATAAATAAATAAAATTTTAACATATCAGCGACTTAAATTTTTAGACGAATGCGATCAAATCGATACGTAGAAGCATGCTTGGCTAAGTCTAAAGAAAACTATAGTTACTTCTAAGTAATTTTTTTTTTATCCACACATGTAAATGCAAACTGTCTTAAGGTGGCTTTCAAAAACCCTAATCTTACATGGAAAATTTTTTGAATCCAATACAATATAGGAAAAATTAGGCTCAGTACCATTTTTTTAGGTGTTTTTAATTAATACACTTAAACTCTAATTAAATATTTTAATGAAGTATTAATTATGTCCAATTGTTAAAATCAAAGTCTAACTTTTACAAGTCCAAACCGGATTTCCTCCCTCCTTAGAAAGTAGAAGCGTATCCTCTATTTCCTGTATCTCCATTTCCGACCTATTTTCCTTCGATTCTTCTTCGTTTTCCCTTCGTATCCGTTCGGGTTTTGTAGAAATCATCCAGAGGTAAAAATTCGTTTGGGTTCCATCGATTCTTTATCTAGGAGCAAAATCCAACTATAAATTTCTATTTTCGACCATTTTCTATCTATTTCTTCTTCGTATATGTTCAGTTTCATTGTATCATTCTCATTTCGACCCTAAATCTCAAATATTCGAAACCCTAGATCTGAAATTTGGAAATCTGATTTTGATTCCGATTATTAACTCGTATTTTTGTGACTTTTTAAATTTTTATGTCACTTTTTCATTTATTGCCACTTTTTGAGTGTATGCACTCTTTTAGTATTTGTATATTGCAAACTTATATTCAGTCATTATAACATGTTACAAATGTATATGTTACAG